CTGGAGCTTTCTTGTAAAACGCTTGATAGGTAATATTTGCAATTCTTTTCTTGTAAAGGTGGTCTAACGATTTCCAATTTGCCATTTTTAATACTTCAGTGTCTAGAACAGTTTCCTTAATGTTAAAGATAAACCTTGCTGCTCTATGTTGAGTTTGTTCGAGGGACTGAAGTTCCATTTTGATATTTGCTAATGGTGCCTCATATGCGTGATTGGCAAGCATATAAATCTGTTAGCTCGTGTTCGTGGCTTCATCTAATGTTTTTCGAGCTGAAAATTACTAACATATTGAAATCAAGTGGGTGGGGACTGGAAAAGAGTCAGTTGCCTGTAGAACTATTAGCCTACCAAGTTTCAATGGTCTGTGCTGCAAATTGACTGAGATGGCTCTATTCATAGACTTGATATAATATTGGGTTGAGTGTATGACATCATCAGTCATCTCGTTTGCATATTTCACACACTTTTCAAACTTAAATATCTCCGGAACTAATGCAGATATTTGCAAACAGTAAACAGCGTTTTTATTCTTTCGTGGAATTCTACGCGATACACCCAAAAACTCAAGGGGTAAAAATTTGATCATAGTACCACTTTAAGTGCACACTGAAGTGACTTAGGCAGTGATGACAACAATGACATTACTTCACGTTTCAATAACATGCAAACCCTGAAGTTCAAAACCTAACTAATGATTGCACTTTTGGCTGCCATCAATCATATCATGACAACTACCAGCAAAACAAAAGTACACTTCTGTTCTGTGAGAGGTATGCCACAAAGCCATTGACTGAGCCGAGTGTTGCCTGTTATTGAAAGGCGAAGTAAGACTGCATTACATGTACATGATGTGATGCAGACTAAAGGCAACCTAACCTGCAACCAAGTGAATGAATACCGCAGGTGATGTCCACACTCTTAGTTACTTTCTGTAGTTACATGATCATGCTTAAAATTACTGCAATACTCTAATAAAGAGTACATAAAAGTGCAACAAATTGGCTAGATCACATGTTAAAGGTATAGATAGTGGTGCCCAGGGCTGATACTGAAGACTATGATGGAAATGTAAACTGTGATCTGGCGTTCATTTTTTCCGTCACTTCTGTCACCACAAAAAAGTAAAGTCAGGTTAATGGGGACAGGAAAACTGAATAAAGGTGCAGTAGTAATGACAAAGATGATGCAAAATAAAAGAGATGACAAAGATAACTACTACAGTGGATAGCATGATGCTGACAATGCTGGCAGCTGAACTGAATCACAAGCAAGTATACAGTGTGCATCAACCTAACTTATTTTATTTATTGCACAGTACTGACCTTCTTCCCTCCCCCTTTCTTTGGCCCAAGCTTTCCAAGTAACCCTTGAACACTTGTCATAAAACCAGCCTGTTGTAAAACAAATCGAGGTGGATATGGAAAGTGAGAAAACTCAAAAGTGTCAATGTAAAGTGTGTATGCACAAATATAGAAAGCAGAGACAAGACACACTGAATAGTTCTTTCATTGTAGGTAGTCACTGTGACAACTACAATTATTACTGACAGGGAAATCCAGGGAAGAGACGTAAAAGAGCACAACAATTTCCTCCACCACGACTAAGAAATTACATGTTAACATAAATTTAACCAGCTGTCAATATTTACCAGTGCATGTTCCTTAAAACAGGCTGCACCAAGGGAGAGCCATAAAATCAATTCATGATACTTCATATCCAATGTAGTTATTTGTTCTTTATAAACAGCTTACTTTATCCTTTTCTTTGTCAGGTTTTTCTTTTGCCTTTTCTTGCTCAGCAGTGACTACTTTTTGCATAATTTCCGGATGAGCATCTACACACTTTTGGAAACGTAGCTGTAACAGAAAGTGCCAGTTGCAAAGTAGTCAAATTCAGAAATACTATTTTCAAATTTAAGACAGAAAAGAAGGTAAAATGAAGGAAAGGAAGACAGAGAGAAAGGACAGACAAAAGGACAAAAGACAGACAGATAGACTTCCACAACAATCCTCCATGGTTGTAGATAGTCTCAGCACAAATAACTTTTATCACATGCAACATACTAAATTTGCAGGTAGAATTTTCCTCCTATGCTGTTTGTACAATTAGAAGGATGAATTTCAAATGTGTCGATTAAAATGCATTCCCCCCAAAAAAAATTATTGGCAGATCAACTTTTGCTTGGCTTCCATTCAACAATGACCAATATTTTGGATCAAAATGGCTGTGAGCCACTGTGTAAATCAAGCTGTTCTTATGCTAACTAGAAAGTTCGCATTTAAAAATGAGAAAAACAGAGAGGTCTGTATCAAAGCAAGTCACCTCTAGCCTCGTTTTCATTCATAGGCCAGGTAACTAAGCACATAACTATGGCCTATTGTCTAACAGGAATCGGAGGATTGAGTGAATCTCACACATATACCAATATCTCAGATTAATGACTATGTCATTATCTGAGCTAAAAATGAACAAGCGGACTGCTGTATGAGTAAGAAATTTTAAAGAAATTTTACAAGGAAAATGGTCCCCATTTTTTTGAAACCAAGTCTACTCATGGAAAAACTTATCCAAGCTTGGCTTTCATAGCTTGACTTGTGGGCAAGTCTAAGACTGACAGACAACAGAAGAAAGAAAGGGAGAAAGAAAGAAAAGAAGGAGGATAAATTAGCCATAGATGAAAGGAAATTTAGGATTTCGAAGCAACTTAATAAGAGAGAATGGAGATAGGAAAATTATAGCACAACAAAGAAAAAATAGAAGGAAGGGAGGGAGAAAGGAAGGAAAAGCGAGGAGTGACTCAGTAAACCAGCAACTAACCAACAAGGTGAGCAACCAAATCTTTACTTTAAGGATTCCAGGTTGTCAAAATAAGCTGAAAGTCAGTTCATCTATTCTCTAGCTATCACACTAGCTAGTAGATCAAAAGCTATTTCTCATCATGACAGTGTAATCTTACCTGGCATGCTTCAGCTAATGCCTTGGTCAGAGGTGCGGCATTAGGAGCACATTGGAACACATGGCACACATACACTTCAGGAGCAGTGCTTACAATATAACCACACAGTCTATATAAAAAAAAAACAACCTGATCAACTTCAGAGCTGTTCATATAAAACACAGTGCAATATATAAGTGCAAATAGGCCATTTTACAGTTGAATGCTCAGTTACCTGGCCTATGAATGCAATGAGGCTGGAGATAACCTTTCTTTGCTAAAAACCTCTCTGCTTTTCTCATTTAAATGCAAACTAGTTAGCATTAGAACAACTTGATTTCCACAAAAAAAGCAGTGAGGTCTTCATCAAAACAAGGTCACCTGCAGTCTCACTTCCATTCAAAGGCCAGGTCACTGAGCAGATGACTGTAAAATGGTCTTTTGGCAAAATGTTAAGTAAAATAGCGTGCAACTTTAAAAGAAATAGGGCCGTCTCTGCACTGTTATAGGTTTAACATCCTATCTTTGTATTAAAAAATCAGCCCTGTTTTTACTTTATATGGTCTATATACATTGGCTTAGCCATCATGGTACTGTATATGAATAATTTTTCATTCTCTACAAATCTGGTAAGCATATGCATAATTTCATAGGGCTTTTTTACAACTTACGTTTCTTTCATATATTTTGGAGGTATCTTTACTAATTTAAAATTTGTTTTCTACTATTTCACCAATGACTGTTTTAAGTACCTTTCATCCTTTCCAACTCCAAAGAATGCCATGAATCTGACTCTGTCTTCTGAAATTAACTCTTGAGTCTAACAGAGGACAGGTGAACAAGTTCAGTGACGTACATACAATTGAAAATTATTGTACAAGGTTGAGTAAAATATTGTGATTTGTCAGAGGCAAGCAGATCAATTATTTCCAGAAGCTGTCGAAGGCTGAGACAAAAAATTGATCTGCTCACCACTGACAAATCACAATATTTTGCGATTATAACCACGTGCTATAATGGGCAATTTTACAGTTGTGTCCTCAGTGACCTGGCTTATGAATGCCACTGTCAGGTTACTAAGCAGACAACTGTAAAATGGTATATTGTGTTATAATTCAATCTCCAAGTTTGTTTCCATATTTAAAATCACTCTTTTACTGCTCAGGGAAGCAATACGACATTCTTCACACAAGAGCACGGTTACAATGAGCAGAATATTATTTGTAGCAAAAACATTTAAACATTATTACATATGGTGCAGTAGGCTCTTGACCAATGAAAAGGAAGGGAAAAAATGTATTGAATGATAACTCCATTCATTCGTTTTTTTGCATTTTCATACCAACAAAGAAGGAAAATGAACACAAAAGTTAAGCAAGAACTAAACAAGATAGCTCCCAGAACAAGATCAAGCAGAGAAGTTGGCTGATCACTAAGTTCTTAAGTCCAATAACCATATGATTATATGGACAAACATGTAGCGTATAGCCGACAATTCATCCTCAGCAGGTTCCTTCTTACCGTACAGTCTGTTATCCTAATGTTTGAGATGCTGATTTCAATTAGGATTGTTCTCCATGTATTGGTGCCTTTACTCATTAGTTTGCTGATTGCTTTGTTCAAGATCTCCACACCTGACAAAAGAATCAACACAGCAACAAGTTCACTTTTAAAATCACTATAATAATTTCATCTGCAAACAGCTTGGAATTTAATATATTTTTTTTGACTACATCCCATTGCTGATCCTAGCAGTACATGTGCTCAGGGCATGACAGTGTTGCATATGAACCTTATAATAAGTATCTGACTCATATCTGGAAGGTCACAGGTTCCAATCATGACTTTTTTGGAGCTCATATTGTTTCTTTGCAGCATGTTAAACATTTCATCTTTCATATCCCACTTTTGTCTCAGTTGTGCATGAAAATACTGTCCGAATAAATCATCAGCGAGACAAATGAAAAACAATAACTGCAACAACAACAACAACAACAACAACAAACAAACAAAGTAGGTCAAACCTGTTGGTTTGGGTACATCTATACACCCAACATATTTAGCAGAAAAGCTCTTCTTGGGTTCCACATGTGGTTTTTCATTAAAACTTGCATTATCTGCAAAACAATGTTGAACCACCACATGGATAAGGGAAATGTCAAGTAACATTTTTATGAGGCAATATTTCAACATCACAGGCCACTAAGCATAACAAGAACTCCAAAGGAAAAGATAAATGACATCTGATGGGAAAAATACACTATTCATTAACTTTTGAAGACTTTCCATGGTGTATACATGCATAATTTTGACTTATTTTGGCATTCAAAACAACCATGATTTAGACCTTTATGACCTCACAACATTATTAATTAAAAATTACACTTTTCTTTAGGTTGTCTGTTTTCATACCTCTTGCTGATGGTGGCGGTGGAGTGTTAATGATGTCAGACCACGGCTTTTGGATCGATGTTTTCCTACTGCTTTCCTGTGCTTTCTTCTTTTCTTCCAGGATTTTACTACACATGTCATGCAATGCATTCGTGATTGCACGGCCAGAAATATTACCATGGCAACGGAACATGTGACATTTGTGTTTACCAGTTGAAGGATCTCGTGCAACATAAGCAAAGTCCCTGGAAATGGAAACAGAGGGGGAAATGCAGCAACTCTTAGCAAGAAACAAAAGTCAATTCAAAATACATGGATTGACTCAATTTTGTTTTAATTAAACAGTGCCAAGATTTAAATGGTGATTGGACCATGTAATAATTTGGAGATTTTTTTTATTTGAGGGTCAATCAGTTATCATATATTAATTAACACTTAATAATTTTTTTTTTTTCATTCGGGCCACCAAGCCTGACTTCTGGGCACCCTAGTCTACAAGGTTGGGTACCTGAAGGGCTCCCTAGAATTTTTCCTAGAGCACAGCCTTGCATGCTGAGGGATTGCAAGCAAGGATGGCACAGTGGTGAGAGTTTTTGTCTCCCACTAATATGGCCTTGGTTCAATTCCGGCCCGGTGCCATATTGGGGTTGACTTTGGGTTCTCGCCCTGACCCAAGGATTTTTCCCTGGGGACTCTGGTTTTCATCCCTCCACAACACCTCCAAATTCCAATTAGACCAGGATAAAGGACCTGCATGAAACCAGGCCTTCTGTGCCACGAGGCACAAAGAAGCTAAGTAGTAGTAGTATGAAACCAGCTGAGGCTGATACGCTTTCTCTCTAAATATTGTAAAATAGTTATTTTTTAATTTATTAATGAATGACCCTGCCCTAGTGAAGTCTTTGTATTAGTCCTTCCACTAATTATCTGCCTTACCTCTGATCTTCTTTGCCAACTCCCCACACTCTCATTTTTGAGACAGGTTGGACTAGCAATGTGACTTTGCTTCTTGGTTCTACAAGTTTTAAGGTGTCTCCTTCTAACAACAATCTTATGTCCTTTCCCTAAAAATAAATTATGCAATCACAAAATTATTAATAATAATCATTAATCAATGCCACAGCTGAGACTGAAATGAATACAGTAAATATTGTATTGGTGGATGTTTTCCAAAAGACTGTTTGAGACATTTTAAGTAATGAAATTTGACAAACAACATTTCTCTCTGGCTTATTGCCAACTCAATTCTTCATGTGTTTCCAATCCTTCTAACTGCCATGACAGGTTTACAGGTTATGTTGCTTATTAGCTTTTATGCCTGGCATCATATGTGCTGCAAACATATTCTCAAACAAACATTTAAGCGAATGTATGAAAATCAGCAACAAGAAATTACTATTTCAGGCTAGCAGATGGTTAAACAGAGAATTACTGTGTCTAAACAATCGTTAGTAAGATGTTATTAGCTTATCTAAATATCAAGTTCAGTAGGTTGTGTGTTGTCAGTGTAGCTGTGTACAGTAATTACCTCTCCCCATGTCTCTGTAGTGTTCCAGAGATCCTTTCTTTTCTGTGCCAGTGTGGAGATGCACTCAGCTATGGTCTCGCTCATGTTATGTGGTGCCACTTCACTCTCTTCAAGTTCAATCCAACCCATAGAATGCACTGGGAAACTGAGTACCTACAAACATGTTTTAAAAAATGGTTTTAAATTCTTGACTTATTCATGATTCATGCAAAACAGAATTATAGATAGAGGATTTTCATTTGAGTGTTGAAAAGTAATTATTGGTTTTGCACCAACTACAATACACAATTGGCTTGAAAAACTTGTGATGCTTTTTCATCCAATCAAAAATAAACAGACGTCAATCATGACTCACTTGCAGTTGTTTTCCTGCACTTCACGTCAAGTACATGTAATTACTTCAAGTTTTGATTGGTTCACTGTATTTGTCTCTGTCCTTTGTGACTGACTACAGTGATATATTTGCATTTGGTTTTACAACACTCAATTGAAAAACACTCTATCTGCCTGCGCAATAGATTTTAAGAAAAGAAATATAAATTGTGTCTATTTCAGAAATATTTTACTTTAGCACAATTGTTTAATCAAAACCAATTTCAAATTCCACAAAACTTGTGGTAAGGTCATACAGTTGGATTTTGTGATCAGCATATTAATACTCAGTCTCCCTTTGAGCAGTCATTTATTTTCACTAGGAATTTCAGTTAATGTTTGTATTGTTTAAGTGCTGCATATGATAGTCTAAGACTTCAGCAAAACAGTAATACTAGACAACAAAAAAACATCATGCAACAATTTAAAAAGAAGATAAAAGTTATTTTTCTTCAAAACTATCAAGAGCCTCTTCTAGGCCATTAAACTATGATCAATGTGATAACAATGCACTATTTTGTTGACCATGTAAAACATTGTACTTGTATACTTGTATACTTCTTAATACTTGTATATACTAGTTTATCCCAGACTCTTACATTAAGTCACCACGCTGTTCTAAACACCTTCAAATATCAGGGAAAAGCATAGATGAGACACTGCCCCAAATCAAATTGGTTTCCCTTCAAGTGTGACCTCATATTAATTTTGTTCCCTTTCCCCCTTTCTAATGTTGTATGCGGCAGTCTCGTCAAAGCCTGTTTCTGCATTGATTTGGGGGTAGAGGGGTTGGCTAACAATGAAAATGATGTTCTTTCATTAAGGAAAGTCTGCTTCATTGTCAGATAACATTCAAATTCATGAAATGTCTCAGTCAACACTTTTGACCCTGATAATTTGTTGCTGTTTGTACGTTTTCAGCCATTATTGTGTGTTCATATGTTTTCTACAGGTTGCTTTTTCAGTGTTTACATGAAAGATGATACCAGAAGACAATTAATTCCCAGAGCTTCATAGGGAAACTCTACCTTCTGCCTCTCTGTAGTTTCCACAGGTTTGGGTTCTTCAGTTGACCTCTTCTTGTTAGAAAAACACCATTAACAATAAGAAACTAACATTTGTTAACAAATCACAGAGAAAATAAAATACTTGACCACCAGAAACAAGGACAGCTTTCTGCAGAACCCTGCCAACTAGCTGGGGTAGCAATCATTCCTGTACAACAAAGAGCTTTTTCGTGTTATGGTTGTACCTCTCCCACACCCTGCCCATCCCTTGTTTGTTTGCACCCTGATGTTCCTGCAGCCAGAATGTTGGTGCAAGAAAACTTGCTATTCAGGCTACCTGTCAGCTAACTATCTCATCATCCTAATGCAGCTCAATGGCTTATTAGTAGTTGAATAGCAAGTTCTTTGCAGACCATGCTTCCTTTAACTTCCTACCAATGAAAAAATATGTTGCAATACGCATGTACAGTATGTATTTCTCATGACAAAATGTCAGAGGAATGGCTTTCATTTAACTATTTTCCTGATGATTGCAAAACACCGAAAGTCTACTGATGATAACTAAAGATTTGCTGACAAGAAGTAAAAACATTTGATGATGAATGAGGCATGTTTCACTCAGTGTAATTAATGCTCCATTAAGGCTTTTTGTGCAACTTGTAAAATATGGACCTTGAATGTAAAGAAAGATGAAAATAGTGCATGAGATGCATTGCAAACCTTTGGTCTTGTTGCAACCTGAGGGAGGGTCCACTGAGTTGTTCCAGATGCGACATGCCAGTAATATGTACCACCATCACCCTTTACTTCCCTCCACCCCTCAGGCAACTCATATGGAGCATTCTGATCCTCTCCGTCCCCTTCCATGGATTTCTTCTCCTTCTTTATATCTGTAGGAGTGTGTGGAGGTTCTGTTATGTCAACTTCCAAGTAAGGCTTCACTGGTGGAACTTCATCAGAAGAACTCTTTGCTTTGTTAGCTGGAATTGTAATTTCTGTGTACATATCTTGGGTTTGTATTGGTATCAGTGAACCCTCGCCGTTTTCCCCCATTTTCATTACATCTGCTTGTGATTTTGAACGGCGATGGTGAAATTTGTTTTTATCCCCTGCACTGGGGGGGAAGTCACCTCTTTCACTATCATTTTTCATTTTAGCAACAACATTTCCATCTGACAGCTGGCGCCGATGTTTCTTTTTAAACATTTTGAAACCACCCTTCTTTGACTTTTCTTCTGGTTTTTCCACTTTATCAAACTGAAAGACATTTTCAGAGGGTTCAGTTCTTTTCATGGTGTCCTCAAGATTGGGTAACCTTGAAGGAAGAGGTGGTGGTAATTCTTCTTCACTTGCTTCATCATCGTCATCATCACCAGACATCACTGGTATTCTTAGCTGATCAAGCGATTCAACTGAACCACTCTGTTGTGGTTTTGAAATCTTCTGCACCACAGCATATGTTGGCTGGCTCTCTTGTGATGGCACTTCTGTTAAGAAATGAATTTAATTATTTTAATTACTAGTGGTAAACATAAATCTGCAATCAAACCAGTAGAGATTGGATGAAAAGTGCTCCAAACATATTTCAAGTAATATATCAAACATGAGAGACAGTGTTTCATTGGGATATCCAAACATGGAGAAGAGAGTTGAAAATCAGACGTGCAGCAGAGTATTTTAACAAAATTCAAAGTGTTTGGAATAGCTGATGAAACACTGTCTCAAATGTTTGATATGTCTTCTCAATGGAAAAAAAAAACTAAGGAGTAACAGGAGAAGTAAAATCATCAAAATCTATGCTAATTAAGACCAGGTATCCAAACCTCCTTCACGGTTGTGATTTTCTTCGTTTCAACTTGATGTATTAAAAAAAAAATTCAAAAATAAAATACTTGCCCACCAGAAACAAAGACAACTTTCTGCAGAACCCTGCCAACTAGCCTGAGAAGCAAGCATTCCTGTACAACAAAGAGCTTTTACCATGTTCTCGTTGTACCTCTCCTCACACCTCTCCACACATTCAAAAATTCATTTCAAACACGCACTACATGTAGATACATCTGCGGCCATTACCCCCAGCAAGGTTTCCCAATAATTTGACGGTACCTACATGTACATTGTGTGTTGTATTTATACACATACACCTACATGAAAAAAAGCCTAACATGTGGTCACATGGGAGGGTAATGGTCACACCTTCAGATTTACAGTCCAAAGCATCATGCACTGGACAAGTGCAACTCTATCAAAACAAGAAGAAAAGAAATGGGACTAGAAATTACCAGCAGGTCTTTTGCTGTCTGTTTCACCAGATAATTTCTCCCCTTCTGGTTTGTCTTTGGGTTTTTTCTGTACAGTGGCATACACTGGTTGTGAAATGACTTCTGTGGTTTCTGGAAAAAGGAATAAAGATTAACACCTAGTATAGTACAACCTCTGATCTGCAAAAACGATTTAAACCTTAAACTGGTCAGTGCATGAAAGGGAGGTTCTATGGCAAAGAAATAACCCATTACAGTGCACTGACACTAGTGCACTTTTTGCTGGCTCTTCTTCAGCACGAATAAACTCAATTCTTCCCCTGCTGAAAAAAAAGCTGAAACTGAGCCTTTAATTCCAGTAATGATAACATAATGGAGACCCATTCAATGTCTGTAATTAAGTGCTTCTTGATTTTGAACACTCATGTGCAAATAACAACCAATCACATTCTCAATAATGATCATTGTAGAGCAGCAGCTTTCAGTCCAGAGTTTGGACTGACAACACACACCTGAATCACAATTTCCTGGTGCTTCTTGTATCAACAGTTCCTTTGATGCATTCAACCCTGGTCCTGAGTAAGGCTTTGGGATGGGTGGTGGCACTTTTTTATCTCCTGAAGATACCTTTCTCTCATTGGAATTCGTCCTGGCTGGTTTCTCATTCAGCTCTACCTCATCACAAGCCATGATCATATTTTGAAGCTCTCCTGTAATAGCTTCATACATGTTTGAATCTTTACATCCCCCAGGGATTGCCGGTGCAACCTCACCCAACTCAACTATCGGTCTCTGTACTGGAGTACTTTGTTTCTGTACTACATTGTCTTTAGATTCTTTTAAATCTGCTTCCTTTGGCTTTTTCTGAACAACAGCATAGACATCATTCAAGGGTCCAACAGCATGCAAATCATCATTTTCAGCCACATTTCTTTGGTTAGCAGATGTTAATTTAATGTTTGATCTGTCATAGCCACCATCAACAATTTGAACCTCTTCGTATTCCATCAGCATTTTTCTACCCCCACTGCTACACTTGATACTTTCATTAGCATTTCCACTATCAGCATCTTTTGACGACTTCCTGCTTTCAACAGGAGCAGCAATGCCTCCGCTCTCTGTCACAATCAAAGGACGAAATTCATCTCCAGCATAAGTATAAGATCTGCGGTCATTGATGGCATTGTCACTGACTGAAAGTGAAATATCCTCTTCTGAAGGAGATTTCTCTGGGTTCCGTGTAGCTATACCTCCATCATTTGTGACCAACAGTGGTCTAAATTCAACATCAGCGTATGAATAACCAGTAGTCTCACTTTGGTCAGGACTTAAAATAGTCTTATTCTCATCCTTGGCTGACGGGCTAAGAAGCTCTCCTGTTGACACATCACTGTCGTCAAGAGAGCCTGTTTCATAGCCGAAGTCACCATCAGTGTTCAATCGATCAACACTTCCTTGTTCCGAGTCACTGTCACTAGCATCATAGCTATTCTCTTTCTTGATCTCATTTTTCTTCTTGCTGTTTGGTTCCTTCACAGTCTTTTGAGATGATTGTTTTGTGACAACAGTTGTCCTTGTGCGTGGAGCAGGTGTTACTCCCTGCTGATTGGTTGGTTTTTTCTTGGTTGGCGAGACATCTGCTCAAAATGAGAATATTAATTTTATCTAAGCGATAATTCACCACTTGGAAGAACCACATAAATTCTCAGAAAAAAAAAGTGACCTACCACAGGAAAACGTACATTAACAGCTACCATTAAAATGGCTAAAAATGTCAACACCCCATTTATTACCCATTTTGACAGTTTGAAAACCCGTTACTATGGCATTGCATTTTAATGCGCGCCTTTAAAACAGCAAAGATTATCCATTTAACATTAAATTAATTTAATTGGCATGAGCTCAAATGTATGACCATGACCCTTAAAGAAAGATATTCTGATTCTATTTTCTGTGAGATTCTGAGACTCTAAGATGTGGACAATGAAAGGGGAAATGAAGGGGATACAGACCAAAAAACCTGTAGCAAAAAGGCACAGAGACTGAAATGAAAGAGGCTGGTTTTCTTTTTTTCTTGGAGTTAACAAAACCACAGCCTGCCACAAAAAGGCTCACAATGTACATGGACGTTGCCAGTTTGGAGTTCTCTCAAAAAAGCTGTAGCTGTAGCTGTAATGTCGTTTCTTCATTGCATCGACATTGGTTTATATTTTTTGTTTATTTCAAGATTTCTTAAGGCTCTCTCTGAAGAGTGTCTCATTTATAATGCATGAAAATGTAGATAGAGGTACATAATGAGGGACTTGTGCGCCAACTGGTTTGGGGTACTTTGTTTTAAAACTCTACCCTTCCAAGATTTGACACAATTTAACAAGACTTAGTGGACAAGGATAATCAAATATCTATTAAAATTTAATAATATACAAATTTATGCTAATCAATGATAAATAAATATTGTTATATTTAATACCTTTAGCAGAGCCAGAAGGTTGTTTACTTTGCTGAGAAGCTGTACAAATCTGTAAAAAAAACAAAGAAGGTGTAAGTATAATTTAAACACCTAATCATGGCATATCAGGTGAGTTTGGTTGAGCCATATGGTTCATATTTTGACTGGACTCTCTCTCTCCAAGATAGCCTTGGTTAGACCAAATGAGCCTGACATGCTGCCGTAACCTATATTAAATAGTATGCTTAGGCATTTCCATACCTGAATTCAGTCATAGATCTAGCCATATCATATCAGTTACTTAATAATGATTGCAGAATATCAGAACAGTAGACACAACATCTGATTAGCTAATTGCGAATTTAGGTATTGTGACATAATATAAGCAGATAAGTGAGACATTGAAAAACAAAAAAGCTATGGATCATTTTCACGTGACATCATCACTTTCTAAAATCCAAAACGAAAGAGCCACCAAAGTTTTTGTCCTCATCAGGCACAAGAGGCGGTATATTTATATCTGTTTACAATTTTAC